CCTGACTGCTCTTAAGAGGGATGTCGACCTAAAATGGTATTAGATTCATCTGAATTTAGAACTCACTGTCAGCCTGTATGTAAGGCTTTCTCATTTTTAATATGTGCCTGCAAATAACAAATAACGAAGAACTCAGCAAATCTGAAAACACAATACTGCCTTCTCTCCAGTCTCGTCTGTTTCATTATTCTCTCTCTATTTATCCTTTTAAGCCAAATGAAACAACTGCAACTGGGTGTGACAACATTGTCCAAAAGAGGCAACAAATTTCACTTTAAAATTAAATGCTTTCTCTGCCAAAAGAAAGAAAAGCGCAGCACTGGGATTTTGGGCAGGAAGTGAGGTTATTTTGTTTATTTAATCTATCGAACTGTAAAATATTGACACTGACTTGAGGTGAATCTGCAGGAAAATTCAGAGGCTCACAACGTATGTAATCACAGCTTACTGTGGTCAATGTGTGCCTGAACGCTTTTGCATTATATTTGACTGTGTTTTCTATTTTTCCCACATTTGTTTTACTGGAAAGCCCCTTTTCTGTGTTTGGTGTTTTATTATTTTGTTTTTCTCTTTGGACTGAGAGTTAAAAGAAAAACTACATTAAAAAAGGTTAAATATTGAAAACATGGGCCTGTTTTATTGATGTTTTTACAAAAATAATATTTCTTCTAACACGTATATACAGTTATCTGTGCCAGGGCTAGAGTTAATAGCGGGTGAAAATCTCCTCACTTTGGTCTTTTTAGTTGACTGTACGACCTCTTGTTTACTTTTTGAATTTTGTTCCACGCTCCTTGCCCACCTCTTTAATAATACCTTTATGCTTATTTGTTTAACTTGCATGATCAGTCTGCTTTTGCTTTGCCATGATCCAATCAGAGCAGAGCACAGACTCTACTGCTGCTCCTCTCATAGAAATTACAGGTCATTACTTCCAGGTCAGAGTACCTGAACACAGAAAGGTGACCTTTGGTTGGGCGTGGGCGCTTGAGATGCTGCAGAAGGCTGTTCTGTCGGTAGACTATTCTTTATGGATCACTTCCACATCTCCAGAGTCCAGCGTGTGTATGGAAAATAGGTAACGATCGAAAGCATATGTTATGAAATATGCACTTAAAGGCACCTTGGGGGGGGGGGAGACTAAATAGCAAGGTTGCTCGTACAAACACGGATACAAATTCACAGCAGAGTCAGAGATAGTGAGGAGAATGAGAGTAAATGTAGGTTTACAGTGTGTATGTGTGTGTGTTTGTGTCTACGTGTGTGTGCGCATGTGCCTGCAGACACCTGCTCCATTCTGCAGTGATGGCTCCCAGCGGGACAAAGGCTCAGCTGCTGATCTCTGGGCCCTCCCTGCAGCATTGGTGGCCGACTAACACACACACACACACACACACACACACACACGCACGCACGCACGCACGCACGCACGCACGCACGCACGCACGCACGCACGCACGCACGCACGCACGCACGCACGCACACACACACACACACACACACACACACACATATATATACAGCCCCTCCAACAAATCTGAACCCTTCAGGCCTCCCTTGCTGTGTCTCTCAGTCTCACTGTGTTCCCTGTTACTGACACACCACATGTGCTCATATCAACAGCAAACACGACATGATGTACACACACACACACGCATATAGCTGCACAATCCGTGTTCATATGTTGAATGTAAATACTATGATACGGTGCGGCCATTACCCACTTCACTTTAATATATACTGCAGGGATGAGATGGTTGAAAAGCAGGTGTTCATTTTTTTTCCCCTGCCACCCTATACTACAGCTAAAAACCTTTAGTGAACACTGCACTTTATCAAACCTCAGCATTATATGATGCTATAATTATATTAATAAAGGAAAAGGATACAATTATGTTGCAGATGTATTTAAGCTTTTCCTTGTTTTCACTTTTAATTTCCTTACGTAGTCATTCTTTATTTTTTTAGCAGATCATTTCAGTTAAATGAAAAGACAATGACCACATTTGTTTTTGTCAGTGCTGCAATTATCAACCAGCATTTCTCCTTGTGGCACGTATGTTGTTATTTTCTATTTGTTATCTCCATCTCTTTGTTTTCTGACTATCAGCGTCTTTTCTCCTCTGTGGCGTGGTACAGCAGGGTTGTGGAGCATAAATGAACTAATTTCCTGGATATAGAAAACACTGCAATCAAGGAAAGGGGAAGTGCAGAAAGCGGGCAGATGGAAGGCGCTAATCATTGTTATGAAATAGCGATGACCTCTAACTATCTCCTGGCTGCTTTGCACGCTTCTGTGCTCCTCCCCCCCCCTTCTTCTTATGTCTTTGCTTGTTTGTTGTTGTGATAGTGATGATGATGAACCTCTTCAGGCACATCTAAAAAAGCTACCCCTCTGGTTTTTTTTTTTAAATTGTTGAAACAGAAAAGATTGGAGTTGTCAAACAAAGCCTGGTGTCACATAGAGAACTGCAGCTGCCTGCAGTGGGTAATCAGTGGAGCCTTCTACAAATTAACAGCATTCAGCTCTGAAGCACGGCACACTGCAGGTTTTAGGATGTGGGCTTCTGAAAATTAGATCTCAGTGAATGAAATATGGAATAATTAGCTGCTTGGTTTGGCCCACATGCTTCATTTTTTTTCAATTTTATCCACTGTGTAAGGTGACATGGCAGAGATTGCCGGTCATCCTAATGCATGTAAACTGATAGAGTGGATTCTGGTTTTAAGCGGACAAAAGGCAATCTAAATGTCATTAATTGCATGCTAAATCTCTCCTCTGTGAGCCTGGTGGTTTAAAAGATGTATTTCTTTGAACACCCTTTACAAGAACTGTCCTACAGCTTGAAGGATGCACTACTGAGAACATGCACACGCACAAACAAACAAACTCAGAGACAAGACATGTAGCAAAAGACACACACACACACACACACACACACACACACACACACACACACACACACACACACACACACACACACACACACACACACACACACACACACACACACACACACACACACACACACACTGAACAAACTGAACACACGGTGGTGCCAGGGGAAGAAATGGTAAACTTTGCTGCAGGCGGGTAGTGTTTTCGAGGACGAGCGATCTCGCTATTTATTCATTTATCAAAGCACTCTTTTTATCCAGTGCTGCATTACATAGACATACTTTGTAGTGTCAAAATAACTGATTTATAGTACAATGAATTTACTCCAAATTATGATTTAAACAACAATGTTTTAATGCCGTAAAAATATTGCATTTGGACTTGATAGAAAAACTGCAATGTTGTGTTTGAGGCTTCCCACACAAACGCCAATTGAATCTTAAAGCACATTCATCTAATGTATGCAAATGATCTTGCTGTGCTTAATGAAGGCAACATTAATCACTATAACGATGATCTTTTTTAACTAGGGGAATCATGCACATGCGGACACGTACACACTCGCACAGCACACGCACATGTTTTTAAATGCATGCCTCATCACCAGCAACACGTTGATGACAAACGCACAAAATTACAAAAAATAAACCATTAAAAAACCATTTTGGCAGAAAGAAACTGTGCATAATGAGAAACTCAAAGTCACTGGGTAAAAAATAACATGTTTGGACTTATTCTTTTCTGTACCTCCTGATTCATTTCTTCTCTGTTGTTCAATTCAACGTTATTTGCATCTAGGCATCTGGGCATCTAGCTGTGGATTAATCACCTAAAATTCACTCATTCCATTTAATAAGATCCTGATAAGATGCATCAAAATATGTTCAAATGTCAATCAAATTTATATAATCAATTCAGCTAATTAGTTCCACTGGTTTCGACAAATAATTTACGGTCCAGCAGCCTTATGCAAACAGCAGATAACACTGTTGTGAGTCTTAATGGGCTCTGGAAAAACACAGAAATTGTGTGTGCTGTATAATAACAACAAAACACTGGGCAGACTTCTTTGAACTCGTGCAAGAATGCAAAGCAGAAAAACGGAGGAAAAAAAAACATTTTTGAAGCCCAACTCCTAACGGACGCATTTCACCGCTTATCCTTGCTGTTCATTTGCATACAGTTGATGGAAACCCTTGGGTACAGTCAGCAGCATGACAGTGGGTTATGAAGGCTTCCGGGAGGCTCTGGGGTGTGGATCTGAGCCAGTTTGAAGGGGAGCCGAACCAATGAAGAGCCCACAGCAGATTAGACACCCACAGCTTTATGTCGCTTTAATGCGGCGAGTCAGGGATTTTCTTACAACGCTTTTTTTTTTGCCTAAAAGCTCAGGGTTTTCTCATGGTCCTTTTTTTTTCATTCCCTTCCCCTTGAAGTCTTCTTTTCTATGGAAATGCCAGGGTAATGTTTTCTCCATAGCAAAATATCCAATCTGCCTACAACGTTCCTGCTTCCTCAACATGTGACTTTTCTAATGGTTTTTTTTGGAATAAATTAGATTGAAATTTTTCATCTTACAAAACTGTATACCTCCCAAGAAACATTTTAAATAATAATCTTAACTTTTTCACAATAATCAAAATAGTAGATGTCTAGATAATATTCATCCATTAAGTCTGAAATCAAATACACCATTTTAAGGGGCTAAAAAAACATCCAATGCAAAAACTGCAAATGCTAACGGAATTAAAAAATAAAACACCCATTCAAATACACGCTGACAATTGCATGCACACCCACAAACACCTCAAATCTCCTGACAACAATCTGACTGGCAGAGGCTAAAGAAAGAAAAGGCGTCCATAATTAAACAAACATAACAATGTAAATATTTTTTACCACTATCCATTGGGGATACCAGCGGAATCCCACAATTGATTCGCTCTCTTCCTGCACTTTTGCTCTTTTCTCACACAAACACATGGATTCAAACAAAACTACCACTCACTGCTTTCTCTCCTAATTCCTTTTTTCCCTTCCAATTATCCTTGCCCGTGTTCATAAAAGAGATAGAGATATATTGGTCTGTCTATCCTCTTACCAGGGGTGACCTGTAGCCCATCTGGGCTGGCGATGACAGGAGATCCCTGGGAAATAGCGGCGAGTGCGTCTCGGGGACGGAGCCCACGCCACTGGCTGCTAGTCCCGAGAGCTGCCCGTACCTCGCCATCATCTTGAGATGCTGCACGCAGAACACACACACTCGTACATAGACACAGGAGGAGAGTGGAGGGGAAAAGAGAAAGAGAGACAGAGAGGGGGAGAGAGAGCGAGAGAGAGAGAGAGAGAGAGAGAGAATGGGTGTGAGAAGAGGGTAGGAAAGCAGATAACAGCAGGTAGGAAGGACAAGAGGATGGTAAAGGACAGAAGAGGGAGTTTGGGGAGGGGGGGTTGAAGAAAGAGGAGGTAGAGAAGGATTACAGAACACTTTGCTTTCACACAAATGCATGTGTGAACGCACATACAGTCATACACACCCCGCTTATGGACAAACTATACGTTCTCATGAATGCAGACAATTTCCTGACCAAGCCTATGCTGTGTGGGTCTGATAACTACCTTGGTTTGGTTACAATAGAAATATAAAGAGTCTAGATACTAGCTCTCCATTTATTATTACAAAAGCGTATCAGTCCCCTCTCTTTCATAGTGACTATCGTGCCCAGGAAACGTAATAAACGGCTGCTGTTATCGATCATCCCATCTGTCTTCTGGCTATGAGCAAACACAAGTGTAAAGACAAGCACATGTACCGACATACTATAACACACACATGACTGAATGGTTGGCAGCAGACATACACAGGTGAGGCGCAAGGAAAGAAGCAAATTGAAAAATCTCTTTACCTCATTGCCCAGCAAAGCAGCGTTGAGTGTTCGGCTTATTTCGAACATGTTCAGTTTCGGTGCGTTTTTTTTTTTTTTCTCTTTCGTTCTGTCCTTTAAAATTGTTCAGGTTCTCCTTCAGTTCTTTGGCTCCCCCTGTTTTTTTTTCTTTTCTAGGGTTGGGGAGTCTGTCACAGGATCACAAATAAAAAAAAAGAAAGAAAGAAAGAAAAAATCAATTGGGGAAAAAAAAAGAGGGGGTTAAAAAAAGAATCCTCTTTAATTTTCAGATTTTTTTGGAGAAGTGGATTTTTCAGAGCTCTATTTCTTTTCCCTCTCTGTCTCCCTTGTCTGGTGATGCACCTCTGCTGGCTGTTGTGGCTGTAGTAGTGGCGTTTGTGCCCAGGGTCTCCGCACACGTCTTAGGAGTCAATATGCTGCTTTTTTTTTTTAAATCTCCCCAGAGTCAGCACATTAAAACAGGCAGTCAGGCGAACGGTGGGTCGGGCTGGCGGGCTGGCTGGCTCCCTTATCTGTCCCCCGCACACTGGCTCATACAATACGCTCCGATCCTCACACTGCTCGCTAGCAGATTAGCCTGTCCCACAACATAGCACTTAGTTTAAACTCCCCTCCCTTTTTGCTCTCTCTCTCTCTCTCTGTATCACTCCCTCTGGCTCGCTCCTCCGCTTTCCCTCCCTCCGTCCCTCCCTCCTTCCTTCCCCCACCCACCCCCCTCTCTCTCTCCCTCTATCACTTACTCCATCTCTCTCTGCATCACTTTCTCTCTCCTCCCCGTTGCTCACGCATTAATGCAGCTACAGTTCACCGTGCTGCCACAAGGTGGGAAGACAGTTCTAGCAACAGCGACACCATCTCCGCCATGTCCCTTTTCCTCTCTGTGCCACTCCTATCTTTTTAGATTTCCTTTTTTCTCCTTTCCTCTTTCTTCGTGTGAGTCTTGAACACACAGCGATGGATTTTGAGAAAATGTTTGCACTTATCACTCGCTGCCTGGATCAACAAACAGGCAGGGATAAATGGATTGGTTTTAGCGTGTGAAGACTCTCATTGTTGGCCCCTTTTATCTAATTATGGCTCCTACAATAACAGGTTGTGCTTGTTGAGTAGTGAAAGGAACCAGGAAAGACTTCTGGGAAAGAAATATTTCAGGAACATCCTGGGATGTATTTTTGGGACAATTTCACAAAAATAATGGAATGTAATAATAACAGTACACTATGAGGAGACATTAAGAGAGTAAAAGTGAATGGTACCTCAGCAAAGAGAAAAAGTGAGGGCAGGGCTGATGTGAGCATCAAGGTCAGGTGGTTGTCCTTTTTTCCTCAGCAGGGTGTGGCACAGAGATGACGAAGCAGCCAGTCACAGGCATGGCAGGAGATCCTGACCACAGAACAAACAAACAAGAGGGGGAGAAAAGATTATGGGGACGTGTGCCAAGGATATGATTCACTCCATTTTCATTTCAGTTTGTAACAACTGGGGGATTTCAGAGTATGACTCAGTGTGAAAAACAGGTAAAATATGTACTGTGGAGAAGCACATTTCTAATTAAAACTATGCTAGCAGGGTGATCAGCCATCATCCTTGATAATGCTGATCTTAGTGTAGTGATACTCGTGGCTCCATCAGCGTGCCGGATAAGTTATTCCCTGAGCTTTGGATGTGCTTTTTTTGCTGCCTCGGATCAGAGCGGGGAGAGCGGCCAGTTAATAGCAGCCTATTGACACTGGACCATCTGTTTAGGTGGATGCTGTCCAGGGTAGCAGATAGGGAGGGAGAGAGGGACAGAGGAAGTGACAGAAATAGAGAGAAAAGAGGGTGACAATTAATGGAGGAGAGAAGGGGTAACAAGAAGAGGAAGTGTCAGCTAACTGTTAGTTTGAACGGATGTTTCTGGAAAAGAGGAAGCTAAAAAATATGCAGAGAGACTCACACATAACAAGGATGTAGCCTAAAATATTGTTTACATGTTTTGAATTATCACGTTTTCTCTTTTTTTTTTTTTCAACCATCAGTAGCAGGATATGTGAGAGTAACATCAATGGCATCACTGTTTTTACAGCACTGTGTAGTGCTGTGTTGGCTTCAGTTCTGTTTTTTCTCTCTCAGAAAAAGGGCTGCTAGCCACATCCCTGTTCTGTAAAGCCTGCACTCTCTGGGGACGGCTGGTCCAGCAGAGCCCTGAGGGGGAGCTGTCAGTTGAATCATCCAGAGTGAGGGCTGATTCCTCAGTCAGCTGCCTCTCAAGCCTTCCTGACCGGGCCCCACTCCCATGAGCCCCCCCCCCCCGATTGCTGTCACCATAGTGATTCTCTGTGTACTGCTGGCTGGTCCCCGCATCTCCACCCGACATACACTATATCTCACAGCCACCGGTCATCAACTCGCTGCTACTTGTGTTTTGATTTTTGCATGACTTCTTTCTTCATTGATGATGGATTTTATACGTGTGAGTCCCCTGCTGAACAGGGTAAAAAGGGTTTCCCTGTACTTGCTGAAATAAAAATACAAAAATAGAATTACTCTCTTGGAACACACACACATCCATACTGTACGCGCTTCTCCCTTCAGGCTTTAAACAACAACAAGATATGTGTCTTTTCTTTTCAGTTATGACACTGAGCTATGAACACTGACTTTTTCATCATTTTACAGTAAAAAATTAAAATTAAAAAAAGCATCTTTCTGAGAGGCTTAAAAAAATACCTCAGCAGGTTCGAAGCTACTATTTCCCCAAGGGGGTTTCTGATTTGTTCTTCATGAGATTGTAATGGTGTGGCATGTCCTCCTATCAATAGCCACACATGCTTAAAATAGCTCCCATGTCTTACTGATTCAGTAAATTCTGTACTAATCCCTGACAGGTATGTCTACATGTGAAGCACATTCATATGTGCAGAAATCATTAGAAGTCAAACATGTTATGATAAGCATGTAAAGCATGCACTCTCCTGAGAGACAATTAAAAATTTGAGACACCACGATATGGACTATACCTTTCTTTTAAGTTCTTCTGTTTTTCCGGTGATAGATGTGTTCATTAAATCATCGCTGCACTTTGCAGACATCATGACAGGAAACACACTGCGAGCTTGCAGTGATGCTAGAGCAGAAAGAAGAAAAGGTTTTTTTTTCAAAAGGTGTTGCTATTTTTCTCCGCCTTCAGGCGTGTTTTAAAGGAAGACACTGTAAAATATGAAGTTTAAAAGAAGAGTATTAGTAAAAGATAGACTTCAAACGTAGCATTTTAACATCATTGGAAACCTTTAGCTAATGAGCTATTAAGTTGAGTCTTAATTTTTCCATCACATTTTTTCATAAGGTTGACCATGTACATATATAGAACTTTATAATAAGTAGATGTCAATACATGTATAGGAAAAAGTTCTCTTAATTTTAGTCTTTACTCAACTTCACATATTTTGCATGTCAAGACCCAAAAATTATATGAAGTTTTTGGCCAAAAGATCAGGTTACAAACAGTATCTCTAGGTCCAGCATCTTATGGTAAACTCAAAGAATACTATGCAGTCTCACCTTTGGTAAGAACTGAGAAACAAGGGAAACGTAGCAAATCTAATTATTATCATTATTCCCGTGGTCAATAGTTCAATATCAATCTGCCCCTTGAAAATCAACGATTGTCCCACAATAGAGCGCTTTAATTCGCATAGTGTTAAAGGAATAACATAGCATGGAAGACAGGACAGCTATTCAATTTTCAATTTTAACAAAATATACACAGTCGCTCTGTATTCTCTTCCTGTCATCTGAAAAATAATCAGTCCGACCTATCTACTCAGTGGCCTGTTGATGCTTGCCATCAAATACAGATCACACACTGAGAGAAAAATCATTGCCCTCTCCCTGGTCTTATTCATTTGTTCCTGTTACACACGGCTTATAACCTGAAAATTTGCAGCCGCCCGTATGCCTCTTGCTCCCCGAGTTGTGCCGCTGCTCATTTGATGTACTTAATCAGGTGGAGCCTTTGTAATGGGAAAGGAATAGGGCCAGGCTTGATTGGCCTTGATGACATCTAGCTCCAATTGTCTAGAAAACCTCCCGCTTTAATCAATCTACAGGATCATTCTGAATCCTTTGCTTCTGCCTGCAATGATTGGCTCTATTCTCTGATAATGCCATTAAAATGCAGGTATAGCTGCAATAAAACTGAGGCGTGCACAATAAACTGTGCATACAACAGGTGTAATTTCTAGTGAAGTGTTGCATTGCAGAACGCAAATGCTGAACGTATACATTGTTGAATAATGACATAGTAAGGGTTTTCTTTATAGAAGTAGGCTGTAGAGTGTCTGATTATTTTTTTTTCCTGTGGAAATTTGGTTTTGCTGAAAAGTTTAAGACTAGGCCTACGCATAACAGTCTAGAAATGGCTGTAATTGACATGTTTTCCCTATATTGTCTATTCTATTAAATGATTGGTGCACTAACATCTACGTGTATAAAAAACGAATATTAGATCAATATCAGCTGTTTTTTTACTGACAAAATAACAACTAAACTTATTTACCTCTCTTTTTACCTAAGTCTTGTTTGAAGCAGTGTGCGCTGATGGAGAAGACACCGCCTCTCCCTCTTCCTCCTGCTCCGTTGCCGGGGCAACACACACAGAGCGTCGGCCGCTCTGACAGAATGGAGAGGAAGATGGAGGAAAACACCATAAGAGACAACGAGACTGGTGTGTAATTATGAACCGTACCTGGTTTCTTTTTCCATTGCTAATCACGCGACTGCTGCTAATGAGGCCCAGTTGTTTGACAAAAACTGGCTGCGTGTTCTGGAATCGCTGCGTGTCTTTATTTTGGCGCTAACATGCAGTATGCTAACACTGTAGCTAGCAGGTATGCTACAAGATGTAAACAACAGTAGTGTCACCTGCCTGTCATCTAGCTAGCTTTGTAGCTGCAGATGTTGGCAAAGGATATAATAAACGACACGCAGGCAACTTACCTCACTGAAAGCCTTTAGATAATTTATGGCATGTTATTGTAGACACCTTTGCCGAATTATTAGTGCAGGTGCATTGGCTCTGAGCGTCTGCTAATGTAAATGGTGTAACAGGGAAAAGTCAAAAGTATCTTATTTCGTGAACTGCGGTTTGGCTTATTAGCAGTTATTTTCAGGTGTTTTCTTGAGATGTGCTCCCCTGTCAGACGATATTTCCTGTTGCGGTGTCCTTCCAGGTCAGAGTTAGGGTAGCGTTGGGGGTTGAGCAAAATACGTTGACCTCATATTAAACCTCATGTTAATATTTACAGTCTATGTTTTAAAGATGTTCAGACGGGGAAACCGACGGAGATAAAACACCTGCACTTGAAGTAGGCTATCACTTGCTTAAACGTAGTCTTTCCCCATCGGAAATTGAATCCAAAAGTAAATAAAAATCTAAAATCTTGACCTTTCGAAATGGTAAGGACGGTTTATCTTGTATTTACCTATCTGATTATCTGTATATCTGAATTTGTGTTAATCCAATTTGCGTTTCAAATTAGAAATATAAAGATATTTAACCTATTTATTTTCTATTTCTCCTTTTTCACAGCAGCTTGTTAGTTTAAAATTCAAAGTGTTGAAACTCACCATTCGAAAACTGCAACGTTAAAGCAGTGAATCATACATCAAACATGTAACTTTGTTCTTTTGTCCCCCTCCCCATGACCCCCCCACTACTTTAGATTTAATAATGACCTCCAGTCCTGCATGGCAGCATATATCTTAACTTTATGGTCAATAATCCAGGGCTCTGCATTCTGTTAGAGAGTTATATATATATTATTAGGAAATGATCTTGTACTTTTTTTTACATAACACCTTCTTACTTACTCTTCTTACCTATCCTCTTCAGGCAGTGAAACCGGAGGCGAGGATGCCTTAGTGGGGAATGTGAACAAACTGATGGTGGGCCCACCAGGATACTCTGGAGCTCCGCGAAAAGGACATCTGGTATTTGATGCTTGCTTTGAGAGTGGTGAGTAGTAAACATGTAAAGTGACACAGTAGAAAAGTAGGATAATTACAATAAATATTGTTCTTTATTGTTCTTTTCATTTTAGTAACTGTTTGTGGTGGCTTCAAATAATATCAAGCTCTAGTGCCAGATTTGTATTTTTAATAGAGATCATACAAAACAGGTAACAATTCTACATACAGTACACATCAAAACACCTTCTTGCAGCGGTGACATGTATCTAATGCAGATGCTGTTGTTCAGAATATGAATGGACATCGGCACAAATGAATGTTAAAAGTTGTACAGCCTAATCTGAGAGAGCCTGAATCTTCTCCCAGAGGGTAAAAGTTGAAACTCAGAGTGAAGAATATGAGTTGGATCAGACACTATTTTCTGTGCCTGTCTAACAACAGACTGCTCATTGAGCGATCAATGTTTTTTTTCCACCCATGATTTTCATATAGCAGTCTACACAAGACGGGTGATCTGTGATTTTCACAAACAAGCATCATCAGGTTTAGTGACTTGTGCTGGCAGCATTCTCTCTTTCTCTCACTCTCTCTCTCTCTCTCACTGCCTCTGATGGCGTTGAAGGCACAAAGGCTGTGTGGAACCCACCTGTTGGTAGTCTTTTTTTTTTTTTTTTTTTAACATTTTAGGATATATATTGATCCCCTGTCATTGTTTCCGGTTTGCAGTGACAGCGCTAGGTTTGCATGTTTTGCGTCATTTGACGGGAGGGGCTAAGTAGAATGATAAGAGGTAGCAGAGGAAGAGGGAAACGTAGAATAATTTTTAATCGATGTTGCCACTTGATTTTTTTATTTTATTTTTTTCATTCAGGTTCCTCTATGTTTTGTATGTCATATAACCAAAACTGCACTCAGAATTTAAAATCAGGCCCATTCCATCAGCAGATACAGAAACTGTCACAAATTCATTCATTTCAGATAAACTGGATTATTTAATGCCATGTTATCCATTCTAAAGTTTAAACCACACATCTGGCTTGAAAATAATTGTCTTTACAGGAAAATCAAATAAATTTGACTGCTGAACACAGATTCTAGCCTTGCAGAACATTGCATTGGCTGTCTGTTCAAACTAGAACGGACATCTGGGTGTTTTTTTTTTTGTGGAATTTCACTTCTTAAAATGGATTAGCACCACTTTTTTATTTTACTTTGAAATGCAAATATTTCAGTCCACTGTGAAGAGAGCATCACCTCAATACAGTCACTGAGCACAGCTTTAGATATTGTGCTATTCTCTCAAAACTTTGATTAAATTATAATTCATCTGTGCTGGACACACACACACTTGAACCCCTCGATTAGTCATTATAAATTGCCTTGCTGTTGTTTTGATTGAACGTAAAAAAACCTTACACTAAGTTTATTCTCCTGCCCAAATCCAGTATTTTTAAGCAGAGAGTGAGCTAGTACACAATGATTCAGACCGATGTGTCATGGTTAAAAAAATACAATCAAGAAGACGGAAAATATTCTGTCAAAACGACCCCTGTGGTCATATAACATACGTTTTTTACATATAAAGTAAATGTACACGGTAGGGGTAAATTAATGCATGTATGGTATGTACAAACATGATACTTATTTCTTCATCTAGAATACTCATCTGGAATCTTTACATTTGGCAGTATCTTACTCTATTTCATATTTCATTTCTGCACTGACTTTACTATATTTTAACATTCTATTCAGCCAGAAGTGCTTCTTGTCCTTCTTATCTTGTCTTTTTTTAAGCTAAGCATATAGTTTGACGTATTTCATATACTCTTGCATCATGTATTAAGCACATTTGTCATTTCAACAAAGACTACCTTTATTTTTGCAGAAAGAATAAACTTTAACATCACAATTTTTACTTTCTGATGTTCATCCTTGGAGTCACCGTAAATGCTGTTCTCCACAGTTAAATTTTGTTTTATGTTTTCTCTGATACTGCCAGATAATGACATGGCAATACGTTTCTTCTTCATAAAGTTGTCAAATGTTCTGAGCCTACAATTGAAAAGAGAAACAACAATCTTGAATGGGCTTTTAAATGGGTTCATGATTAAGTAGGAAACATAATCAATAGTTCTGTAAACTGGGGCCAAGACGCGCATGAAGGTTAGTGCATATAAAGTAATCTGCATAAAGATCTAAACGTGTTATATAAAGAGGTTTGTGCTGGATCAGTGTGGTGATTGGCCTTTTTATAAATTTGCCTTTTTTCCCAGATGACATGACCAGAGGAGCTCAGGCATTGATTAATGGTGCAGAGCTCCCACACTGAGATCAGCTAACATACCAGTGTCTCTGACTCCGGAAGTATCTCCTGAATGATTTATGGAATTGATATTAATCTCTTTCCAGTAAATGCATTACTAAAGTTAGAATGGGGGATGAATTGATGTTAGGCCCCTAATTTCAAATGAATCCCCTGCTGCTGTTTCATTTAAGCATCGCTGATTTTCCCGCCTTATACTTAACAATAAAACTTTATATTACTTTTGAATGGCTCTTACAGCACTCCCTCTCTCTCCTCTCTCTCTCTCTCTACAGTATAAACATGAATATACTGTATATACTACTGTTAATGATAGAACATTAGTCTTTTATAGCCATTTTCTGAGTACTCAAAGACGCTTAACAAAGAATAACAAAACAAAACAGTGAAAACAATACAAAAAATTAATTGTCTAAGAGAAGGAGGTACAGAGTTGAGAGTGAGGGGGAATCTCTGTTGGTTTTTGGGAGTGAGTTCCAGAGGAGCGGCAATGGACAAAGCCCTGTCCCCCAGGACCAATGGTTAGTCCTGCTGGGGGAGACAGGAGGTTTTTGTCAGCAGACCGGAGAGTGTGGGTGGGAGTGTGCCAGGGGAGGAGCTCAGACAGGGCTTTATAGGTGATGATGAGGAGTTTGAAGTGAATACGGGGATGGGGAGCCAGTGGAGGTTATGAAGAACCAGGGTGATGTGGTCACGGGTGTGGGAGTATGTCAAAAGACTAGCAGCAGAATTCTGGAAATATTGTAGTTTCTTGAGTGTTTTGGACGATGAACCGTAGATGAGACTGTTGCAGTAGTCTATGAAGGTTGAATCTTGCTAGCAAAACGCTACCTTTCTGGTTCAAAGCTGAGCCAATCTAATTTGTAGGTGTCCTGGTTCAGACTGCTAGAGAGAGAGCACACAGCAGAAGAAGAAGAATGAAGAAGGTATTGGGGGTACCAATTCAATTTGTTTGGGGTGTGGCCAATGCAGACTCCCGCCCCCTCTGGCTCTATAGATGCACAAATCACTTTTGCTCCATGTATCTCAGTAAATGTGGAGCAAAAGTGATTTGTGAACCTGTAGAGGCAGGGGTGGGGCGAACCAGCATTTGAGACTCGTAGCAGCAGATTGTAGTTATTGACTTGTGTTTGTGTTAGAAAAATGTATTTGTGAGAAAGTATTCTACAGGTGTGTGAATGTGTTTTGTACCATATTCAATGCTAACTGTACCAAAAATATGAGCGTATGAGTTTCCTAATTTGTGATTCGTGAAATAGGGTTTGTGCATCTGCAATGATGAACTTGAGAAGCTGTCACTGTTGTGTTGTGTTTGTGAGAGAGGCAAAAAACTTTCTTCTCCTAAAGCATTTTTCTCTGACTTCGAATTTACTGATACACATGTGACTATTTTCTAGAAGTACGAATTCCAGTGTCACTGGTGCTTCAAAATTGCCTTCATAGTAGTCTGGTCTGGAAGTGATGAATGCATGGGTTGTGGTCTCAGCAGCTGAAAAGGAGAGGGATGGATGAAGGAGGGCAATGTTCCTCAGATGGAAAAAAAGCTGTTTTGGTGATGTCTTTGACATGTTGGTTTATTAAGAGGGTTTACGGACGTGGGGGGAAGGGAGCAGGGTGGAGCCATCGATGGAGCTATATATACATATATAAACCTTTGATATCTTTCTTTTGATTGCTAACTGGTTCATTTAAGTTTTTCTTTCATCTTAAATTCCCACACTTTTCAGGTCGCTGGTAAGGAGTTTGTAGTTTTCTGTCAGTTGTGGCAAAGTTTGCTGCAGGAATTATGCTTACTATACTTCAACCCCTCCATTTCCTGAATTTGGCTCGGGATAAATCAAGTGTCTATCCATCTGTCCATCTATTTGTTTGTTTTATTATTATCACTCACAATAAGAATAATGTTTTTTTTAGGCATGCCATGCGTTTTCATCAGAATGCAAACATTTCACCCATCATATGGATTCATGTGCTGTACAATCATAGTATTCTGCCAATCAGATGAAGCCTTGGCTATCCGTTAGCTGCTCCTCAGATTAATGATGTCAATGTGGTTGGGTCTATGAGGCTAGCTAGCATAAGGCTGAGGAAGGATAGAGGATCAAGGGAAATTCATTGCGAATCCTCGGTTTTCCTCATATCGTGCTAGCCTAATCACTCTTTATAGTGTAATCCTTGAGCAGGTAATTTTTATAGCTACTGTGAGGAGTTTTTGCTGGTTATAAAACAGACCAAAATTTAAAATTGAAGTATTCATTCTAAATATGACTGACAGTACAAAGGCAAAGAACAAAATCACTTTGGATGATTGATCATTTCTACGTAGTTATCGTTAATCCTTGGCTGCGTACCGCTGAGTGGCTGTCAGACATAGTCATTTTACAGGAACATGCAGGAACACCAACGATGAACAGGGAGTGACATGTTTGACTGTTCAAAGGAGGCAGAGTGAGATTTTTCATCAGAAAAACTGCTGATGTTTGTAAAAAACAAGATTAGCAGAGCGATAAGACATACCACTTTGTCTACAGGGAGTACCAAAGTCAACAGAAAAGTAAAAGTACCTAACAGTAGTTTTAAAGTAATAATAGCATTTCATTCTTTGTGTAAATATAGTATTGGATAAGTTCAATTTGCCAGTATTTTAAAAGCTGGAATTTTCAGTTCCAGCCCCTACTTTCTTTATTTGTGTTTTACTATTTTGTGAAAAAAAAAAAAACATT